ATATATTAATGTTTTATAAACACACACACAATATACATATATATATACACACACACACACACACACACACACACACACACACACACACACACACACACACACACACACACACACACACACACACATATATATATATATATATATATATATATATATATATATATATATATATATATATATGTACATACATACATACATATATATATATATATATATATATATATATATATATATATATATATATAATATAGCATATATGTATATGTATAATATATATATATATATATATATATATATATATATATATATTATATAATATATATATATATAATGTATCAGTCCATCTAGGTTGGCTTCCACTAGAAGAATCAACTATCTGATATGTTTTAACGGCCAAATAAAAGCTAATGTTTCCAAAGCTGTTTCACTGTAATGTTTTTCGCTAGAGACTTTTACTTGAGGACAGCTTCTAAAGTCACGTTTGAGGCCTTTATTTCTAAAGTAAAAGGTTTATTGAAATTTGGGAGTACTAAAGTAGGAGCTTCTGTGGAGTACGTTTTTACAAATATCAAGTTGCTATTCATTTGACCGACTGAGGGGGGCTTCTTTTGGTAAAAGGCCGGTAAGAGTGTGGGAAAGTTTGGCTATATCTTTAACAAAGGTTTTTAGGATCTTTCTAAATAAAGGAAAGACTATTTGCTTGGTTGTGGAAAATTATGAATAGCATCAACCTTTCAATCTCTATATGGAAAAAAAAAACATAAATTTCTTAGAGTTAGTTGTTAAGCCAGTTTCAGTTGTTCTTTTAAAACTTCTTTAACTAATAATCATCATTGAAATAAAGCCATGATAACAGTCACAAGCCGAGAGAAGTTTATAGATGAACTTATTGGGCCAAAAGGCATTCCTATCTACCCTTGTACAGTTAAAAACCCAAATCAACTTTCACCGATATAGCGAGAGACAAGGAGACGAGGAAAAAAAAGTTAGAAAGGACAGGGAGAAGACACGAAAATGCCAAAACCCACCTAGCACTCACGATAAAGAACTACTAACACACCATACTTAAGATACCTTATTTGGCGGACGCTATTTAAGTTAGGATATGCTGGAAACATCTGCAAGTCCGAGGAGATGGCACAGAAAGTTATACATTCACTTCAAATCATCATGATCCACTCTGAATTGAACGAGACGCACCCCCTCTCTCTGAACGGCTTTAACTGTCAAGGCGTTTACCACTACTGCACGTTCAGCAAATATTTTGTCTGTTTAACTAAAAGTTCTGGCTTTTTCATATATATACATTTCACTGGTTGAGAACTGTGAAACCTTGTAGAGCTAAAATGCTCATGAATGATAATCTTTCTCTTTACTAGTAATAAGGTAATTTGTCCCCTCTCTCTTCAGCATATAATTGTTATTGTTTTTATTTCTGTATGTATAAATATCTGTTCTAGGTATCTCTATCTCTATATTTTATCTGTATGTATCTCAATTTTTATCTTTTTATAAGTATTCTAGCGAAGCTATACTTAATTACATCTCTGGGCTGTGAAAAAATTTTTTCAATCATGCCTTTTCTATATTTGTCGCAATGAGCTCTGTTCACTATTTCCATAGGCTATATTTCTATCTTTTTGTTTACATCCTAATCTCTGAATATTTCTATATCTCTATCTCTAGAGTTCTTCCTTGCTATATGTTGTCATGGAAACAGATATAAACATTTGCGAATAAGAAAACAATAGATTATTTTCTGATGATTGACAAAACAATACTTGCTGCAGGGGGAAGTACGGCGGAGAGGAACCCCGAGATAACGAAGCACATAGCGACAGGAAGACCTCTATGTGGGAGGCGATTCGAGAGGAACGTGACCGGTTGGAGAGATATCGCATTTAAGCCAAATTGGGTCCAGTGTCCCTCACCCTTTTCATGTACATGTGTATAGCTATTTTCTATGTATATTTATACACTGAGAATGTAGTGTTTTTTCTTCCATACTTTACGGAGATTTTAAACTGCAGAATCACCTGATATTGAATACAAAACAATATGTCAGTCATAACTTTGATAAGATTGAGAAATGGCACACATATATTTTCCAATGTAGTTAAATGATGAAAGTATGGACGACACATTCATTCCCACATGTCTCCAGCTTCGAAATTAGATAGGAGATATTGCAGAGCACCAGCCAAACGAAAAAAATAAAGGCGTCATAGAACATAGACTTACCAAAGGGTTTCTTTTAGCAAATGCAGACGCGCCTTCACCCAACCGAGACACAACTTCAACTAATCTTGCGAATAAAGTCACATTGCGATTTATTCACACGCACACAATCACTTCAAAACTATTATCTAATCCTAATAAAATAAAGGAAAAAGTGAAATAAATGAAAGTGACGAAGAAGAGAAATACGCACAGATGCAAACGCAACTCAAAGAATTATTTGGGGAAAGAAGAGATAAGAAGAGATTAAGGAAACGATTGA